GGGTTTAACCTCTGCGCCTGAGCCTAAGACTTCTGAAATCGGCAAGATCCCTTCCACACGGACTTCAAAGACACAAGATCAGACAATACAGAACGAAAATTCACTTTGGCCTGAAATTTAGCATACAGATTCTCAGCAGATGAAAAGCTGCTCTTTTCAAATACAATTTAAAAATGGATTAACTCTTTTTCAAACTAATAGATGAGAAATTAAAAAAACCCAAACCATAAAGGTAAGTTCATTGCCATGATTACTATTGTCTGTGTGATAGAATTCAATCACCAAAATAAAATAATTTGATTGGTTACATTAGAGAGAAGGTTTGCATCTTTTTAGAGATGTTGCTAGAAATTAAACATCCTGTTTGATGGCTGAGTTTGAAACCTGACAAAAGTACACACGCCATTCTTTGAATACTAAGTTTTACTAAATATATTCATTTTTGTATCTTCAAGTTATTATTCGATAACTTGGTCAAAAAGTAGTATTTTTAAGAAAAAGGTTGAATGATTACGTTTTGCACATCGTTTTTTACACCACCATACATATGTATGCAGTACTGTTTATATACAGTAGGCTACAGAAACTTGAAGACATTTAGAAGATGACATTTAATATTGCAGACAGCTAACAAAGGTGGAAATGACAGGGGCCGTTTCAGCTACGCAAGGAGTAGGGAATCCCAATCCCCGCGCACTGTTCCACAGATGCAGTTTCTAGCACATGAATCTGCAGGCACCGATGGGGTGGACTGAATCTTCCCATCTGACAGGCAGCTGAGTGGATTTCCCCAGCTCTTCTGTTTGCCACTAAAGCATGGGATGAAAATAAATGGATTTTTGTAGGCAGAATTTCACACCTCTCGAGCATAAAATGATGGGGGTGTGTGTGCAGGATTCTGCAAAACATCTAACTATTTACATTGGTTTAATCGACATGACAGAGGACGTCAGACCTGATGCTGAAAATGGGAAAATTCTCAGCATCACTTGGCTCCTGTGATTCTGGAGATGACAAATATCATTGCGTACACTTCTCTCATCCCTTGGAGGCTTTTAGACTTATGGGAACAGTGCCAGTTCAGTCAGGGACAGAGGAGGCAGCAGAAAACGTTGCTTGAAAGCTCAGGAAAACTGAAGGCGAAAAATTAACACACTCATATTTGCTCTCCTGCAACACGTGCAGGAAAAGACCCAGACTCCAAATGTGGCAAAACAAGGGGTTTGTTGCATTCATGTCTTGTGTTTTGTGTTGCGCTTTCCTGTCTGCTATTTAAGGTACCATCCACTGCAAGGGGATCATAACCTTGATTTAAGCCCTTTGCTGTGGTACTTAGTATTAAAAATAAAGAGATGTGGAGCTGATTTTTTGGTACACATGACTTCCCAAAAATGGAATTCAATGACATAAATGACCAGATTGCCAGCTAATTGTTAAAATTTCCAAAATATAAACATCAATCAAGCTCTTATTCCAACCACAAATTATTTACATGAGGAATGAGATCCTCTGCAAGAAGAATTAAATCACGAGCTTGTGAGAGACTTTCCCATAGTTTGGAATGGCACACAAAAAAGACAAGAAGCACTTCTGAAGATAATAAAAACCATATTTTCCAAGCAAGAAAAATGTTATTAACATGACTATTGTTTAGTCAGTGGTGATGAGCCCATGAAAACAATCTTCTTTTGGGGGCTAAACTACAGGATGTGACCAGAGGATATAAATCTTTAATAGTAATGGTTTTTTTGTAAGGTAGGGTGTGCTTCTGATTAAGAATCACAGAACTTGCTGTACTTAACAAAAGATCTTAACTTGGACATCTAGCAAACTCAAACCACAAGCAAGACAATTAAGTGAAGTCCCTAAAACACTAAATGTAAAACCAACTGCAAAAAGCCGTAACTGGGAAGAATGCACTATATGAACTGACTGACTGCAGCACCTAGAAGTCAAAGTAAATTCTGCCTGGAAGGAAAGGGAATTAAATCAGACAAAATTAGGAATAACCTGAAGCGACAAGGCAGCTCATACAGAAAAGGATAATGGAAAAAGCTTTACATGTCAGACATAATACAGATTTGCTAATGGTGAAAATGCAACATTGTTATGCAGAACAAAGGGATGTACACAACTGAATTTACTTGAAATTCACGGAGAGACATGGTTTCAGAGCACTTGTTGATAATCAGTCTGGTTCCTACTGAACTATATGGAAAAGCCCAACAAGGAAAATAAAAAGCACATATACATGAGAGTAAGCATAGAATCATAGAATCGTTTAGGTTGGAAAAGACCTTTAAGATCATCAAGTCCAACCATTAACCTAGCACTACAATCAATCAGTACTTGCCTGTGAGAAGTCTATATGAAGTAAAAATAAAATAGATTTTGAAATTGAAAATGTTTTTGCAATTTTCTATTTTAATACAAAACATACTTTTCAGCAATAAAGTTGCTGGACTGGCACATAAGAATACATGAGGGAAAGACAGAAAAATTGGTCTGTTTCAGACCTCACATTCTACTGAATAGCACGAAACAACATAATACATTATTTTCTAAAATATATAGAAAAAGTACTATTTTTAATCTATCCTGGATATTTTTTTTAATAAGAATGAAAACATTCACCAAAAAAACCCTACAGTCACAATACAGTGCCACGTTCCATATGGGTCCTGGTTATTTATTTCAAGAATGCATTCAACCATAAGAATCATCGACAATTAATTGATCAAACAGGTTTCTGGTGTTCAGCAAGTAGAATATCCTGTAGAGCTCTTCTTTTTCATGGTTTTAAGGTAAAGAGAATAGGTGCTGAAAGTACTGACAGACAGAGAGGTGTGAAGTTGTAAGAGCACAAATAAATATGGGTCTGGGAAGTGAAACTGCGATGAAAAGTTAGGACCAAATAATGGAGGTGAACTCTCATAAGGACCAACCCCAAGAAAACAGAATAGAAAGACTCAAAAGGAAAAGATGTCTTCAAAACCGTCAAAAAGCCTAATTCATATTTGGAAAGAAGGAATGGAAGATGGGTTGAAAATATAAAAGAATGGAAGTTTTTACCACTGGACAATGACATCAAAGCCTATAATAACAAAATAATAAGAAACAGAGATGAACAGCTGATCTTTTGGGGACCTTTTAGAGTTCATTGTATTTATGAAAACACTGGCAGTGACAACAATACCCTATATGCCATAGTGAACATTAGGGCTCAAGCATAATAAAAGCTGCACTTAACCAGTCCTGAACTATATGAAATACATATGCTTTTACATGTATTTATGTGTTTTTCACATTTCATATGCAAGTTTTGCTTCATTCTACCCTATAATAAATGTAACACCAGTGGTGGGACACAGGCAACAAACTTCTCAGAGGAATAAGTATTCACTGCCTTGTTTGTAAGAGTCAGGCTCAGAAGTGTGCCACTCCAGTTAATGGAATATATAGATACAAATCTGAAGAAGTATAATACTGAATGAGACTACCTTGCTAATCTTGTTTCAAGTATTTTTATGTACATCCTTGCCTTTCTCTGCCCTCTAATACATTTTTGTTGCTATTATAACGCTCCTTGAACACACGTGAAATTGCATTAAAAATACAGTTGCATTTAAAAAGAATAAGAAAAGGAAAACCACACAGGTACTGTATCACTGAATCATCCTCGAACAAGAACAAACTTCCAATAACTAGCAGCAATAGATGTTCTCTCTTTTATGCCACCTATGAGTTATTTTGCAAAGCACGACAGTAACAAGGGTGGTATAAGGAATGGAGAAAAGTGGCCCTAGTCCCAAGGAAGTCAGAAATGAATACTGAGAATACAAATCCACAATGTTTTCTGCAGCTGTAGCCCTATCTAACAGCATGCAATTCAGTACTCCACAATTCGCCCCAAACCCCCTGTGCAGCGAGTGGATTAAGAGCAATAGTTAGTATCATCAGTGCCCAGTATTACAGAGGCTCTACATTCAAGAACAGAATTACAAGTTATAAACGTTAGTGTGGTATTCACAGCATTCCCGTTAGCTCATGTTGAGAATATCGTGCATATCACAGCAACGCCGCTTAGCTGCAAATGGCAAAGGAAATATTTTATAATTGCAGCACAAACAGACATATATCAGCAGGCATACCCTGG